AACAGCCAATACGATCGTCGTCCAATGAGAAACGAGGTGACCGTTTCGACACGGAGCAACTCGTTTGAAATCTCGCAGTAAATTCGTTTCTCCAACATCTGCGCTGCGATGATTGGATGGTGGATTGTTCGATAAAGCGACGATCGACGTTAGCATCCAACTCGGGTGCAGGACGAATGAAACCGAGAGAGGGTAGCAAAAGGATGACTTTCTCTTTCGCGGTTTGTTCGCGCTGAAATAGAGCGGTTTTGTTCTTATAAAGGCTAGTTAAAATGCAGATTCTATCAGTCGCTTCGAATGAAGACCTACCTCCCGTGCATCGTGACTGATGCGCGTGCGGCTTTTATATAAAATTGTCTTCAAAGGAAATAGAATTTTAACGAAATTGAAAAGTATCAATAAAGAACGGTGTCGATACAAACGACGCCACAGTTTCCTCTGATCAATTTTCTCAGTATTACGCGGAGTATTACTTAGTACAGGAATGTAATAAAGAATATATTAAGTATAACTGGTGTATAAAAGAGAGTCATTATTATATATTTGATGAATAAATATTTAATTGATACAAGATGTTCTATTAATACATTTCGCGAGTGTGAATATTATAATAATTATTGGGTAAATATTTGATGAATAACAAAAAATGATCCATTGATATGCGAATAAAATTCATCATAATGTCTGATGAATAAAACAAAAAGCTATATTTCTGGCAAGTTATAATCTATACGATGCCGCATCTGCTTATCGACTCCGCAGCTGCTCGCCATTTCCCATGGATGTCCCGTGGCGCATTTGTTTATCGCTCACGAACGACATTTTAATTTTCCAACCATTTGTAATAGAGGTCGTTACGAATTTGTGCTGCGAGATGTAGATTCAATTAGATACCAATGACAATGCTGAGCAGAACAGCGAATGTTCGTGACACTGGGCCGCAGGTGTTTCAAACGACCAGCCGCCTCTGTGTTCGGAAATGGTATTTACTACTAGCGATTGGTCGGAATTCACTCGGACGCGCGTTACATCGAACGCGTTTCGAACAGTTGCCATAGTACTCTTATTATTGATTCGACCTTTCTTTATAGGAATCTCCTATTATTCACGATGAATATTTTTTAAATTAATTGAAAAAAAGAGAATTAGATTGTGGTGATTTAAAATAAATCACGTATTTTGATGAGATCACTTTTTTTTACGAGCTTAAAAAACCAGAGAAAAGCAGCTCATCGCCGTTACGACATTCACACTAGACAATTTTACTCGTAGATCCTAGCACTAAAAGGGACTTTAGTTTTTCGAGCAACTACATAAAAACCATTTTATTTCGAATACGTGTGAGGTGTGCTTTCCACACGTTTTTATTTGATATTTAAATATACACGAAAAGATACTTTTTGTATACAAAAATTTACGAGATTTTTTTTTGGTATCATTTTGAACCTCATATCTATATTTGTGGAACACACTCGCGCACATCGTTTTATGATTTTTATCTTCACACTAGTTTTTGTGAGTGAACTTACAGACAATACTAGATGTAGATAGCCGTTACTGTTTATATAGTCCTTTAATATGGCTCGTAACTGGGGTGCCAGCCCCAGAGATATACACGGAAGTGTCGTCACACTTGTTATTTCCCACCGGAAACATGGCATGCACATGTATATAGCTGTTGTCACACTATTAATCCTTTTAGGATTAGGGTTTACAATATATGTTATATACGTAGTCTGACAACTAAGTTGTATAGATGAAACTTATTTATATTCAAATACAACTCATATGTTTATATAAACGTTATCTTTTTCGAAATACGAATCCTTTTGCCTGCGTATCTATTTCGGTGAGGATTTTAGCATTACAAATATTTTTGATATATTCTCTAGTTGCATTATAAGTATTTTTAAGTATACTCTAATTGAATATTAGTAATAATATTAGTAATAATCAGAATTTTATTGAAATGTTCTTCAATTAATACGCGCTATTTTTGTTGTAAATACTTTTTAATAATATCATATCTAGAAACAAATGTTAACTTCATTTAATAATGCAATTATCATATCGCGTGAACATCTGCAGACATTGACTTGAATTCTCCATGCGTAAAAAAAATATATGTACTAGCATGACATATTTCAAGAAGATCCATAAATTGTGAGTAACGGGATGCATTGGAACATTAGGAAAAACTCTGAATTTGTGAAAAAAAATTCTGTCCGTTATGATAAAATGGCTTGTATATCACCTCTGGCTAGCGACGTCATGAAATTCTCTGGATAACCACCGGAGAATTTCATTTTGTCAAATAAAACTTGTCCGTGGACAGTTTTGCCGGACATAGAAGTGAGTAGAGGAAAACCGCAGGAATTCCGTTATTAATCTTTTTCAGAGACACGGAATGCGTTTTTTAAATCGCGCTACGCGTTATTTTCAAATATGCTATGCATTTCCGTGATAGCATATTTTTAACTTAGCTCAATTTCTATTAAAATTTGAACTTAACACTTTCCATTTTCTTCACAGCGCCTTTCTTCTTAATTTGTAAATGAAATTTGCTTAATTATTAATTATAATAAATAAAATTCCAAGAGAGAAACATTGAAAAAAACATTGAGATAAATTTTCTGTAGTATTGCACAACAACACGTGTTTACAAATTGATAGCAATGTTAGAAAGTGTCATTGCAAAATTGATCGCAGATGTTTAGTATTCATATATCCTAAGAATGCGCGTATTTTCATTTGATTTTCGAATTTATCTTCATGAAAAACTTGAACGGATAAATTTGCTTTTCCGAAATCTTCAATGAACCGCGCAAAACTTGCTCATATTCGAACTCGCTTTTCGCGATGCGGTTAAATTGGTTGGAAATGTAACTCTTTCGAAGAGCAAAACTCCTTCGAGATTCTCGAAATTTCAAAAACGATCTTATTACTTCTTTAATTAGTTCTTCTTTAATAGTTTTTATCATAAAATTAGAGTCTAATCATTTACCTTCACTTTAATTTGAAATAATGAAATCTATATATTATATATAAATTATAAGTTTTCTTTCTATATTTTGTCTA